TCTACTACTCAGTTACTTGGCGACTAGGTAACAATCATGTTTACTTGGTCACTCCTTAAAAAAATTAGTATGAAACTAAAAAGGTGTTCATACAGCACCTGTTCACACTAGATTAAATATGGCGGGGAACAGTCGGCCTAGACGGCCTAAAGTCTCTAGCCTAAAAACATGACAAGTAGGAAACCACTTTCCTACTTGGTTAATTTTACAAATGACAGGACCACCTGCCTAAAGGGGGTCCAGTCTTTAAAATGGTTCGAATACCGATTGGATAAATGGCCGACTGATCGTCTTGCCTGGAAACAGACAACCAGTCGTCCAGGGGCATAGGCGGCGTGACTAACTATCCGTACCTGTCTGCAACTATCGGCCATGTAAAACAGTCGGTATAGTGTACAATTGGATATCAGAATATTCAATACTTAAACAAATTTGAAGCAAAACAAAAATATTCATTAAAAGGAAGCCGGTCATTAAAGACCGGCAAAATATTCAGAGCCCCGGCCCCCTGGCCGGGTAAATACAAACAAACGGCACGCAGGCCGGGGAAAGAAGACATAAAGCTTATGAAGGGGGCAGATCTTGAATATTAGCAGCTGCCGCCTGGTCAGCACTCTTTTTGCTGGACTCGGCTTCAGCTGCATCCTTCTTCGATGCATTACCCCCAAGCGGCACAAGCGCCACTACTGGCTGCTCCTCCTCCTCCAACGCCTCTTCCTCAGCAGCCGCCAGGATCTCTTGATTATATCTATCAGAACACTGGCGGTACGTTTTTTCCCAGGAGGCAAAGTCGGCATTGGGGAAGAGGCGGCCCCAAGTCATGCGCTGGATTTGAGTAGAGTCTTCCATCATCTCCCGGACCAGCTCTTTCTTTTCTTGCTCGGCCTTTTCCGAGAGCTCCTGAGTAAGACTCTTCTCCTGGGTCACCAGGCGTTCCTTTACGCTCGCCAAGGATTTCTCCAAGGTTTCGTATGAGGACATCTTTTGGCGAAGAGGTTCAGCTCGGTCTTGAGGGTGTTGATGGTCGCCTCCAGCTCGCTATTCCTCTTCTGGGCCGCCTCTAACTGAGCCTGGATAGCGGCGGTAGCCTGCGCCTGATAATAAATAATATCAACTGTCAGAACTTCATTTTGGGCAATTTGAAACATTGCCTTATCACAGTCAGAGGCGGCCATAGCTTTTTCAGCCTTTACCTCTTTGTTCTTCCGGTCAAGCGGCTTGCGAAGGCCGTTCACTCGGAGCAGGGCCTAAGTAAAAAGGGGAACAGGCGTCAGTTTCCAAACAAAAAAGAAAACAGGCGTCCTGGAATTCAAATACTCAAAAATATGCTAAGTATACCTCAGCAAGGACTCCTGCAATCCCGTCTAGGTCAAGGGTGCCGACACCCCTGACCGCCTCCCTTTCAGCTGGAGGTACGGCCTTGATCATAGACTTGGCCACTTCGACCAAGTCAGGCTCCTGAGGGCCGGCTGCATCAAGCATAAACAAACGGATTAGACCTAGTAAAGAAGGGAGCAAGTCTAAAATTTACAAGGACAATTTCATACTTCTAGGTGGCCCAGCTGGAGTTTTAGAAGAAGTGGCCGGCTGTTTCTCAGCCGCCACATGTTTCCTGGCAGAACCAGGAGAGCTCGCAACAGTCGTCCTCCGGGCCTTGGAGTCCGGCTGTTGAGAAGAAGAAGCTCTTGGAGCGCCCGTCTAAAAAAGAAGAAAAGAGTCAGTATATGCATAAACACAACTCCAAAAAGAGGGTGAAAGGTTCGAAGCCCACCAAGGGTGCCCCCTTGTTGGGGGAGTCGGTTGAAGACTGTTGCATGATGGAGGCCCGCAACATGGCCGCCGCAGTCTTGGAGGCGGTAATTTTGCTCATGGCGTCCGCTGCAATAACAAATAGCAAAGTTAATAAAAGTCATAACAAGAAATGCACGGAACAACCGAGTATTCAACAGGCTGACTACCTCTTGAGCACCGACGGCTGAGGCCACAGGCGGCCAAAAAGTACTCGTCGTAGAGCCATTTGAAGCTCGGGACGCAGTGCAGGGGTACTTGCTCTCGTACCCCTGAAGTAGAGTTCACCTTCGACTCTACTTTGAAGAGTCCTTTATCTAGGATCTCTTTCTTAGCCTTGGGGGGAACAGGCGGCATGCTGCGGCCGCCTGCAAGAAGGGGCGGAATCCTGTTCCATCTGTTGAAGCGCTTGTTCAGCTCTGTGTCTGAACTCTCAATGATAAGGAAGGTGCTCCGCCAGTCCTTCCATTTGTTTGCTTTACCTCTCGTCATGAGGTAGCCTCTGTGGCTCGTCAATTGATACCAGCCGGTACCGCCTGCCTTAGGGGTCCGGCTGAGGTAGTTCATGTGGGCGAAAGCCTCGAAGTTCGGCTCGTGCAGTTCGCACCCGGCCACATAGCCGAGTACGTTGACCCAGGAGTTCGGGGCTAACTGCCATAACCCCAACTCATACCCATCCAAGATCCGCTGAACAGCCGGATGTAGTGGGAAGCGCAGCCCAGCCTTAATGGCCGCCTCGTAGCATCCAAAGCAGGCGCCATCATAACTGGTACCAGCCGGCCAGACGACCGTGTCCTCTAGATCCGGCACGAACACTAAAAAGCCGGGGCCCATTGTGTGGTTTGCGATAAAGCTCTCCACTTTCTCTTGCATGGCCGTGATCCGGCCCCGAGGTACCGTGCAGTAGTAGGGGGTATTTTGCTCTCGGTGAGAGGCGGATGGCTCCGCCCAATCGTCCCCCTTCTCAACTGCGTGAGAAAGCCTCGCCTCTTGTAGGCGACTGTTTTTCTCTTCTGTGTCCAGGGAAGCATGGCCAGAAGAGCTAGACTCGGAATCGTCCTCTGACGAGTCCGAAGAGGACGACTCCTCCCCTCTCCCGGAGGGGCCCGCCTCCTCTCCTTTAAAAGGAGCAGGAGAGAATGAAGAATTGTCAACTGTAAAATGGGAAGGGGTCACTTTGACTCCTCCCTCAGAACTGCCGGCTTTCAAGCCGCTTTGTTTCACTTCCACATCTGGCGCTTGGTCATATGTTTCACTAATCGGCACCCTGTGGGAGGAGCCGTCTGAGTTTGAGATCCTGGCAGTCTTTTTTGTTCTGGCCATCATGCTCTGCATAGACACAGATACAGTCGGACTTTGTATAAAGGGCAAAGATGGGTCCAGAAAAGGGCAGGCGACACTCCTAGTCCTAGATTCAGCCGTCCCCGGTGACCGGCTGATCACTACCCTAGGTCGTGTCGTGTGCTTCCGTGGTGCCATTTCAAAAAAGAATAAAGTAAAGAGAAAATTAAGAGTAAGAGAACCGACGGTTACCTGAACGAGTGACGATTGATGAAGTTCTGAAAATCCTTTGCAGTCGGCTTGTCAGAGCAGGCGGTAGGCAGAAAGGGTCCAAAATGTCAGAGCAAGTTCAGGGGTCCGAATGTTCTCTCACAAAGTTTTCAAGTGTGAAAATGACCGAAGTCAACACTCCTTTATATAGGCGAAGTGAGAAGGCGAAGGGTCACTTACAGAATTCAAAATTTTGGCGGGAGAATCTCTCGGCCTCTCGCCGAGTGACACCTGTAGCAGGCCGCCGCCTGTTACAGGGCGATACCTGTCACAGGTAACACGTGACCAGTCACGTGCCACCTGTGAGGGGGAAATGATTAGGGGATTTTGCTCCCACCAATGGGAATGCGCCACGTGGGCCAATCAGGTCCTGCCAAGTGTCCCCCAGTTGGACCTCTCAGGGCTTGCCACGTGGCACACGCTTATTCGTCCACCCTGGACTTATTATGTCATGACATGTGGCATACTCCATGCCTAATGGAGAAGCCGGTCGCCTAGGCCCAACTTCCGAGGGAAGCCCAATCAGCCCAAGGTTAACCTAAACCTAGATTGGCACGTTTCCCGAGGTTATAAATACCTCCCTTAATCCTCATTAAGGGAGATTACGCAGAGAACGCAGATTACACACATTAAACACTCTCACCTAGAGAGACCTAATCACTTTAATTTCCGCATTAATTACTCCTTAATCAAGTACTAACTTCACCGTTGGAGGCGGAGCTCCCACCACAAGGAGTCTCCGTTGTTTTGCAGGTACAGGCGTCCGGTTCCAGTCTCGGAATTGTAACTCTCCCGCAGGACATCAGAAAAACCCCGAAACAAAATGTATATTGTATAATAGGTTTGTGAAAATGGCAACTAGTGGGGCCCGACAAGGATAGTAAATACGGACTACGATCCGTTATATATTTTTGTAAATCTAAATACGGTCTGCGTAATGTTGCGTATTTTTGTACCTTAATATTTAGTTTTGTACCTTAATATTTAGATTAATCCTAGTCATAGTAACTAGTAGTTGCATATTTGGTGGAGATGTCTCGAAGACGACGTTTTTAAGAAGACAAGCCAAGAAGTTGCATCAAAGACCCATGGAGATTTGAAGACTCAAGGGGTCATGCTAGTTGCCAAATGCATCTTTATCTCATGTTTTATATATGTAATTGTGTTTATATATGAATGAATGGTATGATAGATGCATGTTTAAGATTTCAAATGTTGTGATGATTAATTAAGTTCACTTAAATCAACCAACATAGAAACCCTAGGTCCCTATAAAATTGAGCTAAAATTTTCCATCCCAAGAACAACACTTACCGAACTAATGCGCGTTGTGATGGGCTACGCCAAAGCGAGGCATCACTACATCCCTAAGAACATAAGGTATACTAGGTATACAAGTTGGTCTTGGTTAAGCTCAACGATATCAGTAAGGAGTCCTTAGATGTCATGGCAATGGAGATAAAATTTCAAGAAAGCATTGGATGCGACGTTTTATCGAACCAAGAGTAGCTTAGAGCTATTAGCAATTAGATTGCTTACTCTAAAATATTAAGTGTTAAAACAAGCCTAAGCATGCTTAATCACTTTTCACTAGTAGGAAAAGGAAATCGGCACCGCACTTTTGGCACCGGTTTTTGAAAACCGGTGGGAAAGAAATGGGCGGGATTGGGAATACAGACTTTTGGCACCGGTTCCTATTAAACCGGTGGGGATTTATACTTTTCGCAACGGTTCAAACCGATGCCAATTATAAAAGAGGAAAAAAAAGGGATAAAGGGATTTGGCACCGGTTCAGTTCGAACTGGTGCGAAATTTATTGTAAAATAAAAAAAAACCCGGATATACTCTTTCTTTCTCTGGCTTTCATTTCCTCGATCTTTCCTCCTCTCTCATTTGATGTGCCTCTCTCTCTCCTCCATTGAAGCGTACTCAAATTTCTCCATTGAAGGGGCTTCAGAGCTTTCTCTCAGCACTTTCCTCAAACTCCTCTCTCCTTTGATCTCTATAACCGCCACTTTCCCTTTCCTTTCATCTCTCATTCGATCTCCTTCTCCTTCTCTCTTTCTACAATATTGGAGGTTAGGGTTTCTGGGTGCGTCTATTTTGAATCGATTCGATGTGCGTGCGTCTTTAACAACAACAAATTCGAATCAATTTCGAACCAAAAACCAGAATTTCGAGGTTAGGGTTTTTGGGTTATTTAGCTTTGCGTTATATTGCAGCTGTTCTAAGCTTTCTCCTCCATTGAAACAACTTCTGAGGTAATGTTTTTTATTCAATGAAGTTTTTTAATCAATGAATTCGCTAATTATTTGTGTTACTATAGTTAATCTAGGGTTTTACCATTGCTAAAATTGTGCTATTGGCTTGTTTATTTAGAGTTTGATACGAATTGCTGGATTCTCTCTTCTGCTCGATTATCGGTTGAGTAATCACCCAAATCGAAAGTTTCAGGTATCAATTTTATAATTATATGTTGAGTTTTTGTTAAAACTGGAGAAATTATGTGTTAATTTGTTGATTTCTTGCGATTTGTAGGTCACTTTCAGTTTAGCATGCTACATATTGCGAAATTCTTTGCATGTTAAATTCTTAGTTGTATTCTTTGATTGAACTAGGATTAGTATTATGAATTGATTGATTGATTTAAGGTTTGGAGGAATGTAGTTTTTTAGACGAACGACTATGATGTTGATGAACAGATAATTATGAATGCTCGTTATTGTTGACGGTTACTGTGTATAAGTTCTGTATTTTATTGTGATTCAGGATCATATCTTTTACATTTAAAATGTGTAGCTTTTCTAAATTTTGAGCAAGGAAATATTGCCCTTTATTTTTTGTAACCAAAGAGAAGTGACTTTTTATCCTTTGTTTGTCCTCCTTGTAACACTCCTAAAAAGAACTATCCTGGCATATCCGATTTAGTTTTTTGGTATTTGTCTGATCTTATGTCTTGGACTTGTTGCTTTTTGCATATACTCAGCTTATTATGGAGTTCAACTATACCATTATGCCCCACTGCTAAATTTAGGAAAATCAAATCTGTCTATGCAATTTTCAACTTTTCTTAGCCACTCTGCTGTACTGCTGTAGTACTGTTTGGTACTTTAGTTTTATGCTGGCAGATCTTGGCAAACCTGGCCACCTGGGTCTCCAATTCACAAGGTTTCACTAAAATGTAACGAATTAGGGTAACTAAACAACTAGATTTCTCAAGAAAGCAAGAAAATAAACTAATTGAGGGAAGCAGGCAGCTATTTCATTGAAAAAGACCAGAACTTTCTTACAAGGAGGCTTGAGGCTACCACTCTCTGTGACTTGAGGTCACAACTCTCTACACTCAAATGACTACAATATTCCAGCTACCTAAGCAAGTTCCTACCTCCCCTTTTTTATATGTACATAAACAGCCAAAAGAAGATAATGACAAAAGGCAAAAAGTTGCAGCTGTCACAATGTGATATGTTGCTAGTCCTTCATAGCAGCCTTGCTTTGGCTGCTCACTGAATTTGATACTGCTCCACTACTCCTTCCCTTAACGGTTCCTCCTGCCCTGTCCTTCTCCTTCTTGTGTATATGATCGAGTCCTTCTGTTTGCTCAAGGCATTCGTTACATAAAATACCAATCAATATGTATTGCAAATCTATCAGAATGTATGCTATGCATCTTCGTTAGCCTCTCTGCTCTTTGTATTTAAGTTCATGTCTCTTGATAAATGTAGTTCTCAAACACACAAGATTTCACTTAAATACCAAACAGCTTGTGTTATTGATCTCTTAGAATGTATGCCTAATTTTTTCAATTGTAAGAAGGGTAGAATACTATTTGTTCTAGCGATTCAGCTTTGCAATCTGTCACTAAAAATAATAATGTCTTATATAGAAATTTAAATTTTTTTGAATTAAGGTGTAAATTTGACAGGTTATCATTAAATCCAGATTTTCGCTTGCAAAAAGTAGTATTGGAAAGTTTATTGAACATCACCAGGGTGGACCCATTTTTTAATATTAGAACACTGAACATTAAGCTAGAATCAGGCCACATAATGGGGTATGGATTGAAATGCTATGTTTTCCTAAGTATTTCAATGCAAATACTAGTAATTAGTTTAGCTGTACTCACATAAATTTTTTATCATCTAACTATTTGTGAACAAACAGGCTATAGAAATGTTTGTAAAGCTAATTGTGTTCCAGATGGCTTCTTTTTCGCAGCATGAAGACAATACAAGGTATCTAGCTTTAAAATTGTGATCTGTGATAATATTCTCCTTTGCAGACACTGTAACTCCTGCTGATGTTGGTCTGGAAGAGGAGAATGTAGATGATGACCGAGGATATGGTCATTCTTTGCTGAACCCATTCAACCGAGCACCTAGATGGGCCCAACCTATAACATATTTGGATATCCATGAGTCTGACACCTTTACAGTAAGGCCATATGCCCATATCTCCTTTTCTGTATTACTTATTCATGCATCTTTAACCTGGAACTCCATTCAAGTTGCAGTTCATAGTTCAAATGCATAAAACTTCAATTGTATATATATTTATTTTTATTTGTTCAAATACGTAAAATTTCAATCATAGTTATTTTTGTTCATCTGTTCAAAGTGTAAAACTTCACATGTAATTATTGTACCTGCCTAGTTGACTCATTCTTTCCTGTGATTCATTACATCTGTTCAAATTGTAGAACTTATTACTATAGATTATTTGAGGTGGTGCTTCATTTGTGTAAAGATTTAGTCATGAATTCATGTTACCAGTTACCAATCATTGCGGACTAGTTTTGTGCTATCATTATGTTGTAGTGCTTCAAATTAATTATGCAGGATTCATTGCATTAGCATGAATGTGTTAGTACTGATAGTCCAGTCTCCACTAAGCGCTGACATCCTAATATAAATATGCTAGATGTGCATATTCTGCTTTCCGACATCTGCAGTCATTCCTCCGCATGATCATCCTGGAATGACATTCTTCAGCAAACTTTTGTTTGGATCCTTGCATGTGAAGGCTTATGACTGGGTTGAACCTCCACAAGTTATTTAGAGCAATGGCTCTGAGTGCTCTCAAGGTACAGTAAAAAATTGTTTAATATATTTATCTATTTTTTTTTTTTTAGTTTTTTGGGGTTGAAGTTAGATGAATTACCCAGTTGGACCTAACACTGCACCGTCTGCATTGGCCAACAATGGAGCTGGTAAAACTACTGCTATCAATTGCTTGACTGGAATTTCACCAGTGACCAGTGGAGATGGTAACAGTTTGTTTGAGAATCTGTCCTTTCTGGTTTAAATTTCTGTTTTTCATGATGTACTAGTCAGCATTCAACTGAAATCTCAAGAGTTTTTTTTTTTTTTTTTTTTAGTTTTTTAAAGTGTAATATTACAAGTTATTGAAGAAAATATATGTGTTTTATGTACATTATGATTATATATAAATATTTGGTACAATTTAAGTGAAAAAAATGCAAATTTTTTTTTTTTTTTTTATTTTTTCTGGGCATTTTTGGCACCGGTTTTGGAAAAGAACCGGTGCTAAAAGTTTTTTTTAAAATTTTTTTGGGGACTTTTGGCACCGGTTCTAAGTCAAAACCGGTGCCCATTGTATTGAAATAAGAAAAAAAAGCGCGCTATGGGTAATTAGCACCAGTTAACCGGTGCCAAAGAGGGTATTTCGCACCGGTTAACCGGTGCCAAATCTTTAAATAGCCACCGGTTTTGAACCGGTGCTAAATCTTCAGAGATTTGGCATCCCTCAAATACTCAACGGTTCAAAACCGGTGCCCAAAGGGGGGTTTGAACCGGTCCCTATTTATGTTTTTCGCCTAGTGTTTTGATTTTTGGGATCTTGAAATTGTTTTATTCTCGCCTAAAAAGGGACTAATATTAATGTGTGGATAAAACGCTCAATAAGATTGAAAACTTGCATGTATTCTTTCAATTTCAAACTTATTGGTTTTTCATTTCAAATTCTTTCAATTATATAGAAACATGTCTGTAAATAACTCAAACAACAACTCTATGTGCCCGGAACTCCCCGACAAGTTGGCTTTTAGCCTTAACTTGGTCAACTTCAAGGAATGGGAAGAGGAACTCAGGAAAACTCTTCGGAATTGTTCCTTGGAGTACACTCTTGATACTCCCATTCCAAGATTCTTCTCTAAGGGAATCATGAGTGAAGAAGCTCATGATACATGGTCTTCCGATTGCAAGAAAGTCTCACGACTAATGGCTAATTCCATCTCGGAAGAATGGAAAGAAAAACTCTCTTTCTATTTTCCGGACATGTTCCTCAAAGTACTTGAGGATGTTGTCAATGTGAGAGTCACCAAGAGTCTCAATGGAAACTATGATGGACTCGTGTTTGATGTGACTAGGTCACTCTCGAACATGAAGATAAAGCCACCGGAAGAAGGTTGTCTTGCTAAGGAGAGGCGCCGACTTTGGTCAAGGGTCTACAATATCAAATTGAGACATGGTATGCCCCTCCGACCTCATGTGCTTAGAATGGCTAGGTTCTTCAAGCACATGGAGCTTCTCGGAATCTCATTGGAGGATGAGATGGCGGGTCATATCTTGCTTGTTTCACTCCACTCGGGCTATGATGCACTTAGAGCGCATATAGCTGTGGGAAAGGAGACACACTCTTTAAGAGAGGCGGTGCAGCTGCTTCACCAAGCCACCTCCTATGGAGCAACCAAAAAGCCCCTAAGAACAAAGCGAAGATGTGATGCTTCTATTGTGGTGGGCAAGGCCACTACAAGAGGGAATGTAAGATCTTCCAAAAGGATGAGGAGGAGAGGAATGTTTTATCTACCTCAGGTAACTTCATTAACACTTGTGCATAAAGCTATTCATAGGTATTGGATACCATGTATAACTCACTTTATGCTTCCATTTCAGGGACCAAGTGAAAGGGCTTTACAAGTAGATGTGCAACTACAAGCGGACGATTAAGATGGTCTTTCGGTCGTGCTTGTAGGCACATTTTTGTCTATGGCTTGTAATTAACTAATCTTTGTTTATCATGCTTTTGAACATACTTTGATCTATGGTGTTGGACACCAGGTTACATTGATCACAAGACTATAACAATGGTTGTTTTGAAATGTCTTGCTTATATGTTCTATAAAATTGCATATGATTACATAAATGTTAATGATACCACCAAAAGAGCTAAGACCATTAGGTCGAATCAAACCTACTTGTGGCATTGTCTTCTTGGCCACACTAACATCGAACGCATCAAGAAACTTCTTCATGAAGGTATTCTTGACTTATTTGACTTAGAGTCGTTTGAAAATTACGAAGGATGTCTATCAGGCAAGATGATAAAGCAACCATTCTCCAAGTTGGGAGAAAGGGCTAGTGACTTATTGGGTCTAATACATACGGATGTATGTGGACCAATCAGTACACCCGCAAGGAATGGTTATCAATATTTCATTACATTCACCGACGACTATAGTAGATATGGTTATGTCTACCTTATGTCGAACAAATCTGAATTTTTTGAGAAACTCAAAGAGTTTCAGAGTGAAGTGGAAAATCAACTTGGCAAGAAAATCAAAGCACTTCGATTGGATCAAGGTGGCGAGTATTTGAGCCACGAATTCGACGACCATCTGAAAGAACATGATATTCTCTCAGAATTAACACCTCCCGGAACTCTACAACGGAACGGAGTCCGAAAGGAGGAATCGAACCTTGTTAGACATGGTCCGATCTATGATGGGTCTTAGTGAACTTCCGATCTCTTTCTGGGGACACGGACTTCTAACCGCGACACTAACACTGAACCGAGCTCCGTCAAAAGCTGTCGAAAAGACTCCATATGAATTATGGACGAAGAAACCTGCACGGTTGTCTTTTCTTAAGATCTGGGGTTGCGAAGCATATGTCAAGAGATTAATTTCTGACAAATTTCACCCAAAATCAGACAAGTGTTTCTTTATGGGATACCCAAAAGAAACTAAGGCGTATTACTTTTACAACAAATCCTAGAACAAAGTGTTTGTTGCTCGTGATGGTGTCTTTTTGGAGAAGGAACACCTTTCTAAAATGACAAGTGGGAGGAAAATTGAACTCGATGAAGTTCGAGAGGACGAGCAAAAAAAGTCAACCTGACAAAACTGACAGTTAAAGTGCTTTAGAAGCAGCTGTTGACATTGGTCAGAGTGCTTTAAAAGCAGCTACTGACATTGGTCAAAGTCAAATCGACAATGCAAATGCTTAACCTATTACCCTACGTAGGTCGCAACGACCAAGATCTCAACCAAACAGATACCTCGGTGTTGTCTTAACCAAAGATCAAGACATCCTAATAATGGATGGAGGTGAGCCAGCGACGTACAAACAAGTTATGAAAAGCCCCGACTCTGCAAAATGGCAAGAGGCCATGAAATCCGAGATGGACTCCATGTTTGAAAATCAAGTCAGGGACTTGGTTCATTTGCTCAAAGGTTACACACCTATCGGTTACAAATGGATTTTCAAGTTGAAAACCGACAAAGATGGAAATGTATTTATATACAAAGTTAGACTGGTGGCAAAAGGATACAGGCAAATTCACAGCGTTGATTATGATGAAACCTTTTCACCAATCGCTATGCTTAAGTCCGTCCGGATTATCCTAGCAATTGCCGCATATTATGATTATGAAATATGGCAAATGGATGTCAAAACCGCCTTCTTTAATGTGAATTTGGAAGAAACTGTGTATATGATACAGCCGGAAGGTTTTGTTGATCCAAGCAATGCTGGGAAGATATGAAAGCTTATGAAGTCCATTTATGGACTTAAGCAAGCAAGCAGAAGTTGGAATCTGCGATTCGATGAAGCCATTAGTGAGTTTGGTTTTATCAAGAATCCAGATGAATCTTGTGTTTACAAGAAGGTCAGTGGGAGTGACATCGCATTCCTCGTCTTATATGTCGATGACATATTATTCATTGGAAATAACACTAAACTGTTAGAGTCCGTGAAGGGCTGGCTTGGAAGTGCTTTTCAATGAAAGAATTAAGAGAGGCATTGTACATATTGGACATCAAGATCTATCGGGATAGATCTAAAAGGATGATTGGATTGAGCCAAATTACTTATATTGATAAGGTACTGGCACGATTCAACATGGAAGGGGCTAAAAGAGGGCACCTTCCCATGTCCCATGGCATAACTCTCAGCAAGAAGCAGTGTCCACAGACACCTGATGAGCGAGAGAGGATGAATCAGATTCCATATGCTTCGCTTATTGGATCGATCATGTGATCATGTATGCCATGATATGTACTAAGCCGGATGTATCGTATGTCTTGAGTGCTACGAGCCAATACCAATCAGACCCAGAAGAGGCGCATTGGACTGCGGCCAAGAATATGCTAAAGTATCTGAAAAGGAACAAGGAT